TACTGAAGACGTTCCAGAAACATATCTGAAATGTAACAATACCGTGTAAATATAATATATTACAGTTGTAATACCCTACTATTACGGCAACCCAACATACACATGTGTGTATATAAAGTTGCCTACCCTTGGACATCATTCCAGGTCCTATGATTGAACGTTTATGTTATCCGTAACGTACATGTTAGGCTCAGTTTTAACAGTAATTAGGCAAGTTCGTATGATGAAAAACGGTTTTCAACACATTACTGTTATTTTCCGCCTGTTATGTTCTAATTTAACAGGTTTCCATCATACGAACTTGCCTCGTTACTTTTAAAATTCGGCATAACATGTACGTTACGGATAACGTAAACGTTCAATCATAGGACCCATTGTGAAAGATACAGATGACAGTGTGTATATTTTACCGCGTTTTTCTAGAACTCAGGTCAATTCTTGCTAGAAAAGCACAGTCCTATATCTTGTGTTTTTGCCTTTGATATTCATTTATTTAACGTATTTTCTTTGTCAAATGTAATATTATTTTGTAGTAAAGTGTTAAGTGTGTAATATACTAATGCCAATAAGATTTAACGGTTTTAATACGTTCAAAAAATAAGAAGGGCTCTCCGAACCTACGAAATAGATATAGCATCCAACACCACCCTTGCTATACAGTAATATTTCTGAACCGTAAAGTCGGGTGACTTTGATTCACTGTCAAAATTTAAATCTAGTTTTAATTGTTAAATAAAATCAAATCCAAATTCGCATTTTCGCCATAATTTAGACTTCGGTTATGTTTTAAGAATTATTAATCAAAAATATCTCAAATGCTCTAATTTTTAAAATAAAAACTAAAAAAGGGGTGTGCAAAACCACCCGCAGGTAGAGGGTGACTTTGACTCACCCATCATTTTACATTATTTTCTCTATAATATTACTTACTGCTTTAAAGCCACCCATCACAGTTGATAGTATAACACATTTTATCACTAAAAAATATTTTTTATTGCTTACGGTAAAGATAATAACAAAAAATATTACAAATAAAAGTACTGTTGGTTGCATACAAATTTTATCACCTTTCAATTTCTATTATTTTGCAATAAGTTTAATTTTTGTATACTACAAGAAGCGTAGCGTCCAGTTGTCTTTAAATAAAGTGTTTTGGTAGTTTTAGTACCTTACAGTTCAACCAGCGTGAGTTTTATTTTAAAAATAGGACGTATAATTTTTTGTGAACAGAAATAACTATTTACTGATTTGAGCTAAAGTCGCCCATGCGGATCAAAGTCACTGAAATAAAAATTTGACATATTTCAGAAATACCTATTACATAGTTATAATTCAGAAATGTAACCTAGTTATTTTTCATAAATATTATGAAACGTTGTAGAAACGTTTCTAAAATTATTGGATTAAAAAAAATACATTTAAAAATATACATGTTTATTTAAAATACACAAAACAGAAAAATTGATTCTTAAATAAAGAAATAAATAAATAATGTTTAAACATTATTTCATAAAATATAGGTAAAGGCGAATCTCTTCATTTCAAACAAATCCTTCAAATGCACTAATCTGAAACAAATTATAAGTAGGTACTTAAAAAAGGATTTGATACAAATTATTTGATTAAAAATAGTTTTATTAATATCGGCGACCGAATCAAGAAATTCCGTAACGAAAATAAACACCCTCGAAAAATCGAAAACTCAAAAAATCGAAAAATCGAAAAATCGAAAAATCGAAAAATCGAAAAATCGAAAAATCGAAAAATCGAAAAATCGAAAAATCGAAAAATCGAAAAATCGAAAAATCGAAAAATCGAAAAATCGAAAAATCGAAAAATCGAAAAATCGAAAAATCGAAAAATCGAAAAATCGAAAAATCGAAAAATCGAAAAATCGAAAAATCGAAAAATCGAAAAATCGAAAAATCGAAAAATCGAAAAATCGAAAAATCGAAAAATCGAAAAATCGAAAAATCGAAAAATCGAAAAATCGAAAAATCGAAAAATCGAAAAATCGAAAAATCGAAAATCGAAAAATCGAAAAATCGAAAAATCGAAAAATCGAAAAATCGAAAAATCGAAAAATCGAAAAATCGAAAAATCGAAAAATCGAAAAATCGAAAAATCGAAAAATCGAAAAATCGAAAAATCGAAAAATCGAAAAATCGAAAAATCGAAAAATCGAAAAATCGAAAAATCGAAAAATCGAAAAATCGAAAAATCGAAAAATCGAAAAATCGAAAAATCGAAAAATCGAAAAATCGAAAAATCGAAAAATCGAAAAATCGAAAAATCGAAAAATCGAAAAATCGAAAAATCGAAAAATCGAAAAATCGAAAAATCGAAAAATCGAAAAATCGAAAAATCGAAAAATCGAAAAATCGAAAAATCGAAAAATCGAAAAATCGAAAAATCGAAAAATCGAAAAATCGAAAAATCGAAAAATCGAAAAATCGAAAAATCGAAAAATCGAAAAATCGAAAAATCGAAAAATCGAAAAATCGAAAAATCGAAAAATCGAAAAATCGAAAAATCGAAAAATCGAAAAATCGAAAAATCGAAAAATCGAAAAATCGAAAAATCGAAAAATCGAAAAATCGAAAAATCGAAAAATCGAAAAATCGAAAAATCGAAAAATCGAAAAATCGAAAAATCGAAAAATCGAAAAAATCGAAAAATTGAAAAATCGAAAAATCGAAAAATCGAAAAATCGAAAAATCGAAAAATCGAATATTCGAAAATTAAAAAAATCTAAAAATTGAAAAATCGAAAATTTGAAAATTCGAAAATTCGAAAATTCGAAAATTCGAAAATTCGAAAATTCGAAAATTCGAAAATTCGAAAATTCGAAAATTCGAAAATTCGAAAATTCGAAAATTCGAAAATTCGAAAATTCGAAAATTCGAAAATTCGAAAATTCGAAAATTCGAAAATTCGAAAATTCGAAAATTCGAAAATTCGAAAATTCGAAAATTCGAAAATTCGAAAATTCGAAAATTCGAAAATTCGAAAATTCGAAAATTCGAAAATTCGAAAATTCGAAAATTCGAAAATTCGAAAATTCGAAAATTCGAAAATTCGAAAATTCGAAAATTCGAAAATTCGAAAATTCGAAAATTCGAAAATTCGAAAATTCGAAAATTCGAAAATTCGAAAATTCGAAAATTCGAAAATTCGAAAATTCGAAAATTCGAAAATTCGAAAATTCGAAAACACTCCGACCAGCACAGCTCATAACTGATTCTATCACTTTTAGACACAATTTCGGAAAAATTGAATTTGAAAATGAATAATGATCCACAAGAATCCACAACAAAATATGGGACCACCATTGACGCGGTATTTTCCAGATATTTAGAGGATATCAAGTCTCAAACTTATGTTTCTTATTTCAGTTACCATAAACCTATAGTTTCAATGTTAAAAATTACTGAATAACCTACATGTATTTTAAGGTAATAAAAATATTTTAAACAATATTAACTTCTCATTTATTCAATAAAAGAAAAAAATTTGATTTCTTATCGGTCACCACGATCAAAAAGTGTAACTTGAATTAATATCAAAGAAAAAAAAATACTGCATAAATAAAATAAATAAATAATTATAAATGCATGAGTTGATAAAAAATGCTATGCAATAGCTTTACCGCCGCAGTCCCCTAGTGCCACACGTATTTTTCTAGATAATGGAGCGCTATGATCGTTATGAAAAAAAATCTAACAGGCAGCGTTGGAACGAGTCAGATATGAGATTGAGAAGGGTTATTGAGGTGATCAACAACAAAGAACTGGGCTGGCTGGCCGCAAGTAAGCAGTACCGTACTATTGGACGTAATTTAGAAGTAGAAACGGCATGTGTCGTTATTTGGCTTTCCAGACATGGGAGGCATCCTTACGGGCCGAACTCGGTGAATATTTGGCTAGATGGGCATGGGAGGTATTCTTACGGGCCGAACTATATACATATAGATATATGAATGCGGCTATAATGTAGTGAGTGGACATGCTTTACCTATATGCCAAAGCTTCACTCGTATATCGAGCCGAGTCCGGCATCCGGCAAGCCTCCTTCGGTACAGTTACGGTGCCGATTAACTGTGTTTATTGGAGTAGAACTAATAAATGAAACTAGGTAAAGGGACAGCAAATGTAGGTTATATTTAGACTAAATTTGATAAACAAAATGGCGTCACTCGTCGTAATTAATAAGATAAAGTTATAACCTAACGTACAAGCTTTACCTATTTCTTTAATAAACACATTAATTTCTAAAGACATATTCTGTTAGAAATTAATAACTCTACTTTTGATTATAAATGCCTACTTAATTGAACAGTAAACTTTTTGTGCGACTTGACTTGACAACATTGTAAGACGTAAATGTAGCATCTCCGAGCTTTGATTTGAGACAATTTGTAAAGTATTTTTATTTAAAAAAATAAATTGTGTTGTTAATATTAAATTTGCACAAGATATGATACTAATATTTTTTGTTTAGTGATACCTACAAAAGTAGGTATCACGAACTCTATAACAAACACCAGATAGAGTAAAAAGGATATAGAGCAAATAGAAAAAATGTTCCATTCTATATTATTAACTTTAACTCTTTATCTGCTATGTTTAGGAAAATATCTGTGTTTATTATTTTTTATTTATAATATTTATAAATATTTAAACTGCATATTATATTATTTATTAATTATCTTGCTTTACTTTATTTATCAAGCTAAGTAAATTGCTAAATTTTAATAAATACTGACGGACAGGTAATAACTTAATAACTTAATAGTGAGAGTTTGGCCCTATTTGGACAACTTTTTTATTTGTATATAACCCTGACTAAAACAAGTTACTTGAATTTGGCAAGTAAATAAATCTTGAATATTGCATTCTAAAAATAAGGAAGGCTGGTCAGTGACGTATCGTTACTAAATATACAATTAAAAGTGACGTATAACTTGAACCGCGTTTATGAAATCATTATACACCGCTGTTAAAGACCAGTAGCGGTGAAACCCTTGTAAACGCTATTCAATTGTTTTCCGACAAATTTACATAACGGAAAATTGCTCGAGTGAATAATGTACATATTTTGTTTAATTTTGTTTGTGGTACAGTTTTTGCACGACTGCATTGGATTGACTATCAGTGGAAAACATGGTGCTTCTCTTCAGGAAGTGCCTTTCGGAGAAAATGTTGTTTTGAGTTGTAGGAGTAATGACAAGGATCATATATTTGAGCACTGGATATTGGATAATAATGTTATCGTTGGTCCCAGAAATGAAGATTTTGATAACGTAAAATTTAATTATGAAGTCCTGTCAGGAAATTTGATTATAAGGGTAGGTAATTAAAATATTTTCACTTTAAGAAGAAAAAAATACTATGCTTATTTTTGCGTTTTTTGTTTATTTATCAACTTCTTTTTATTTTTTTTTAAACTAAGCACCATTTGAACAATTCGTAAAATTATTAGATTAGGTTATACTTTTTAGAAGGTGGCTTTGAAACATCATTAAAATTTGCATTATTTTATTTTAACAAATTAAATAAATTCCATACATTTCATACATTCGTTAAAGTTAAGGACTTCAATTTTGAGATAAAAATTTAAAATAGATTTATCTTATCTAGCAATAAATTAAATTTAAAAAAATGGCGAAATGAATAGGGGTTCTTATTTAAAATTTTAGAGGTACGTGCCCTGAGGGTGAGGGGGTTAAATGTAATAAAATAACAAATTTCTCAAACTGTTTATATGTTAATTGACGTATTTCGCCAAATTTTCATAGTGTTATCAGTTAAAGAAATATTAAATACTGTTCGTTTTCAAATGGGGAATTCTCCTTAATTTTTTTATTATAGAAATTGGTAGATATTTACGTATAAACATAGGTTTCATTCATATATATATTTTTTTAATTAATTCTCGATGTCGAGAAAAAAAATATTAAAATCATGGTTTTTAAAGTTAAAAGCGTTAGTTTCTTTGACATTTGGCAACGTTGCCTAGTAATTGACGACAGACATGAAGGGTCCAATGTCATTATCTAAAACTGCCTAATTTCTGGGTTACAGACTTGTGTTGTGGTGATCGTAAATAATTATTGGATTATAATCATTAAATAGTAATAATGCGAAAAGGGTCTAATTTAAAAACCTAATGAAGTTAGGTACTGTGAACTACCATGAGTTACTTTGTCACCTTTTGGACATATTTTACTTTGCAACTTTTTTATTTTTTCGATTTTTGGCAAGAAAAAAGTATACCTATGATACCATTTTGTATGCGCAGCCAAAAACCGGCTGCCTAGCATAAGAATATTTGGGGCTGTCACCTCATTAATTTTTTTTAATGCCAGTCAAATCAAATATATTACAACACCATGAATATTACATTGTTATTATTTGTAGGTAGGTACACGTTTCAATTTTTTTCTTTGTTCTATGAGAGGGACCAAACCTAGGCATATATTCCTGTCTTGTGTAATCCCTTCCATAAAAAAAAGAAAAGGAAAAACAAAAAACAAAAAAAAAACAAAAAAAAGTAAAAAAGAAAAAAAAAGAAAAAAAAAACTTGAAAAACGAAAAAAAAAAAAAACGAAAAAAAAAACGAAAAAAAAAGTAAGGAAAAAGAAAAAAGAAAATGGAAAAAAGAAAGGAGGAGAAGCAGTTAGAAAAAGTATAATAGCTTGTTTGAAAAATAATAATATATTAAAATATATTAAACAGACAGCAGAGAGATAATATAAGTATATCTATCTATCTGAATTAGGGCGTGGTTCAAAGCCCACTTGTTCTGAAGCTCTAGGCTTATTGTACAGCTCACAGTAACTATCCCATCAGATTGATTTTCTTGATGAATTCAAGAATATGTCTGATGGGCGCTTTCGCGATTTCTTTAGGTTCCGGATATTGTACCCCGAAGTACCATTTCCGTTCCCATTTAAGGTTCCGACAGTGGCATAGTATGTGAATAGGAATTTCGTCCTCCTCTTCACATATTCTACATAGGGAGTCGTCAGATATCTCTAAAACATTTAATTATCTTCTAAGGCCGGAGTGTCCCGCAAGGAGTCCTATTACAGCCTTAAGTTCGCTTCTGCTAAGGTTAAGCAATTGATTTTGTCTGCTCGTGGATGGCCACTATATGAATCTTTTGAAATGTCTAAGTCCAGGAAGTTCCAACCAGAGCCTATGGTGTTCTCTATTTATTTGTTCCTTTAACACCTATTTAACATGTTGGTATGAGATACCACATGTGGGTTATGGTCCAATAGGAGTTTTTCCGCTCCCTTTCTTGTTAGGAGGTCTACTTTTTCATTCCAAACACTCCTTCTTGTCCTGGCACCCATTCAAGGATGGTCTTGTTATGTTCTGCCAGGGCCTGGAAGGACTGTTGGCAATCAAATATTGATTTAGATTGTACTTCTATCCTTTTCAGTAGTTTAAGGACTGCCTGACTGTCTGTCATGATAAAGATCCTCTATCTCTAAAAGAATCATTTAGCATGACTTTGGCGCAGGCATTTATTGTTGTTACTTCAGCCTGGAAGACTGTTGTCAGTGACCTCAAGTTCAGACTAATTGTCCTCTCTGAGTTCACATGGTAGATCCCAGCTCCTGTTCTGTTTTTTATTTTCGAACCGTCTGTATACCAGATTGATTCGTTTTGTTTTTCCCTATTTTCCCGGCCTTTTGCCCTTTCTGGTATTTGAATATCGAAAGATTTCCTGAAGTCGTGTTATGCTGTTATGCTTTTAGTCTTGTGCCACCATATGACTGATGAGTAAGTTATAACAGGTACTACAACCATAGTGTAAAGCCAGTGCACCATACTTGGTTTAAGCCCCCATATGTTCCATACCATCCATCATGTAGAATACTATGGGCATGGAGCCCATAGTATTCTTACAGCTTTTTCTATATGGCTGCAGAAGCTAAGCTTTTCATCAAGAGTGATTCCAAGATATTTAACCTCTTTTGCCATTTTTAGATGTTATAAAGCGTCTTCATTGCTTGAAGGTTCCTTTTTATTGTGAATGCAACAACAGAGATTTTTGTCGGGTTTGTGCACAATCCCTCCTTTAGGCACAATCTTTCGACGATATTTAGTGCCCGCTGCATCCTTTTGGATACAACAGACAAAAATTTACCGTTTAGTACGATGCTTATGTCGTCTACAAATGCTTGCGTTTATAAGTTTTCTCTCTATAGCTCCCATAAGAGGTCATCAACCACGAAGGTCCACATAAGAGGAGATAACACTCCTCCCTACGAGCATCCCTTGTTAACTAAGACCTCTCTTGTTGTGTTAAGGAGATTACTGGTAATGGTTCTATAATTAAGCATGAACTCAACCCACCTCGTAATGCAGTGGGCTACTCTACGCCTGTGCATAGATCCCACCAATGAACACGCCCGTTGTGTACCAAGGGTTATATCAATTACCTGCCTTTGCACAGATGTTACGAAGATTGGTTCATTTCCAACGTTTGCAACTTCTAGTTTATTGGAATATAAGTATAAGTATATAACATGTATGAGTCAGTTTGGATCAATTTTTTTATTTTAGATTTAAATTCATATAATTTAGTTGGTTTCATTATCAAAGAAAGAAGATTAAACAATTTGAGGCCGTTGTGAAAAAAGTCTACGTTTAAATGTGAATTTGTAGTTGCTCTAGTTTTTGATGAAACCTTGTGTAGGTTATCCTGATCTCTGTATACCCTTAGGAGATACTGATTGGTATATAATTGTCTTAAAGTAAACATTTTTATTCCTTGATATAGTAGTTGAGTTGAATATACTCTATTCTTTTTAAATAAAATTTTTATTAGGATATTTAATGTAGTTTGTAGATGTTGTAACGTGCTGTTAAAAGTCACCTGTCTGAAACGGATCTATATCGTTTGAATCATCGTTGTAAACTGCACGCAGTTTTCGTTTCATATGCCTCAAATCTATTTGTGGCACCTGCAGAATTTTAGGCAGTTCACACGCCATTTGTCCACTTCACTCTACAAATCCCGCATTTATCTTCTGTCTTTTATTCTCTTAAAAGCCGTTTTCTTGATGCTTGATGCAGTTTCTACTGTTGTATTTTCTTCTGAAGAATGTTTGCTGTATTCTTTCTTATTGGTTTCTGCAAACCTGATGTTGATGGTGTTTGATCTTTAGGTGGATTTTCTGGGATGTCACCAGTATGATCTGTAGTCACAGATGAAGGCAAAATTCTCTTGCCGTCTTGCGTTTGGTGGACGGATCTTTAATATCACCTATGTGTTCTTGTATAAGGCTTGTATGCAGTAGACGTCCTACCTTTCCTGGTGGAGTGCAGCATTCGACAACCTTTTTAAAACTTCCTCATATTGCAGGGGAACAGTACGGTTGTTCTAAAGCCAGACATTAAATTTTGTTAGACGTTGGGTTAAATTTACGCTACAGTCTATTTAGCAGCAGAGAAAATTGTTCATGAGGAATAAAACCAGGATAGTGGCTCTTTTCTCCACGTGTCTACAATCACTCTACACAGTCTATTTATAGGTGTAAAAACTGCCATGTCCAAATGCTGCATCAAGTACGTAGAATTTGGTAGAAAGAGTGTTGAATTCCCTTTCTAATTTTTTTATTCTAGAATATTAATGGGATCTTTGGGAAAAAATTTGTGATTTTACGTTCAGTTATGTAATTGTGATTTTCATTTAACTGTATTTTTGTTTTGTTTTTCTAGATTGTAGAAGATTTCAAATACATATTTCAATTATGTGTAACAATGAGATATCCTCTAAATTAAAATTTTTGTATGTATATATTTATTTTTGTATTTTGCGAATTATTGTTCTCTATAGTTACATATCAGGTTTAGTACCAAACACTTTAACTTTAGTTCATCCGCCTTTGTGTTTGTACATAACAATAAGATATCTCGTAGGTTTAAATTCTTGTATATGTACTTAGGGTGAGATTACAGTACGTCTACAATTTTGGAGATCTGCAAATATTGCGGCAACTTTGCAGATCTGCAAATATGGCGGCAACTTTGCAGATCTGCAAATATGGCGGCAACTTTGCAGATCTGCAAAGATGGCGGCCTTACAGATGCAAATATCAAGTTTTCGTATTGCAAAAAATATCTGCAAATTCGCAATATTTATTGTGGTTTATTACCCCCAACAATATTAAAACCAAATCCATTACTATGTTGAAAAACTCGATAATCTAACACCACTAACTGTATTTAATCATAAGGAACAGAATACTTTATGATTTAAAAAAAAAGTAAAGTAAAAATTGACAATCTGCAAGTTTATAGGATGTTCTAAACTCCTGTAAAGTTACATATGATTTGCAGACGCAAAAAGTGAAAATATGTTTCTGTAATAGCATGTTTCTCTTTTGCAACTGCAACTAATATTTGCAGATGCAAGTACGATTTGCAGAGCTTCTGGGTGGATTTGGGTTAAGTGTTGTTGGGGGTAATAAATCACAAATAATATTGCAAATTTGCAGATATTTTTTGGAAAACGAAAACTTGATACTTGCATCTGTAATTCCGCCATATTTGCAGATCTGCAAAGTTGCCGCCATATTTGAAGATCTACAAAGTTGTAATCTCACCCTTAGTATATAACGTATGCAAATTTTTGAACCGTTCAATAAATTGTTTTTCCTTTTGCAAGTTTATTTTTTACACAGATGTACACCAATTTAAAAAAAAATAAACATACCAGAAATTGTAATTCAGTTTCATCAGTAAAATGACATTTTTTTTTTTTTTTTTTTTTTTGTAAGTTTTGCTATTAGTGTAATCCTCATTGTCAATTATCTTCATGAACTCTAGAGTAACTAGAGTAACTACTCTTTATCAACCCCTGCAATAGTACTTACACCTTGCTTTGTATACATATTTATATTTATTTTATCCGACTATGCATTTGATTATATTGAAATTAAAAAAAGCCGAATAAAATAAATAAAGAGTATGTCATAACTATATGGAAGAGTAAATGCTGTAATGGGGGTTAGTTTACAGCAATAGAGGTAGAATATCTAAAGTTCACGTAAATGTATTCGTAATGTAGGATTTTCCTAAATGCAGGTTATAGCTACATTTATCTATAAACCACAGATAAGCTTAAAGGAAAATTACTAGTAAAGTACGTACAGCTTCTATGTAACATTAATTGTAGTCCTTGCTTGAAACCAAGTGTAAAAGTCAGGTACCTACAACAAATGAAGAACCTAATTGATTACATATAAATTTCATATATATGTTACGGGTAAAGTTAGATTAACTGTGAAAGTTTACCCGGGTAAACTGCGAAATACCCAGAAAACGTGGGTGAAGTACGAAATATAACTTACATTATACATATTTTGGGCTTTACCCGTCTATTCAGTTTCGTTTGGTTAAAGTTGGGTGTAACAAAAACAACAACGTCATAAAGGTTAAAAAACATATTTATTTGAAAAAAAAAATAAAATTAAAAACTCTAAGACTCTGTTCTGTCAAAGTAAAGAATATCATAATCTATTTATTTAAGCAAGACAAGCTGCCGTGACATTTCGAGTTACAAAATTTTCTATTGCTTTACATTTACATTTGTTGGTCACGCATTTAGCTTTACAGTTGCAACGTTTATAACCTTGACCTCCTAAAAGTGACTGTTTATTTGTAATTTGTCGCAAACTTTTCTCTTCCGTTGATACATTTTTCGGATCTACAAGTTCCTCACTACATACAGAAAATTGATTCCTGGAAAACATTTCCTCGATAGTTCCTGTCTTGTTAGCTAGTTTCTAAAAATTGTCGTCGGTTTTTTCGATAACTGTCATGAGAATGTTTCTAAAATCGCCCCTCCCTCGATCAACGTCTGGAACTTTTACTCTGACTGTATCTCCAACGGAACATGGAGGGAATTTTAAATTAGATAAGGCTTTCATCTTTGTTGCTTGATTTTTCTAAATTTATTTTTGCGTCCTGTCTATTTGACTGTATGTTTCTTTGGTACAAGCAAAGTTCACACATTATACTGGCCGATGTACATAGCTCATCACATTCTGCACATTTGGTCTGATTTTCTAAAGTTTCTATATTACTGGGGTTTCCTCTATAATTATTATCCACATTTTCTTTATATTTTCACCTTTAATAATATCTTTGTGCAGGTTGTCACTTTCAGTAATATCTTCTTTTTGCGGGATATCTATTTCTGGGTCATTATCCATAGGCTGGTCCTCATTTTGTTTATGTTGTTGGGGCTGTTCACCTACACTAAACTTCCTGACAACCCTCTTAAGCTCTTCTTCGGAGCGTAGATTTTCAAGTTTCTTTTGGAAAAGCTGAGGTTGATAGGCCGACTTTAATATCATGCCCAAACATGGCGACATAAGGAGCTCGCTTAATTCCATCATGGTATGCCCTTTTTTGTTATTAACTGGACAAATCTCAGACCTTCTGACCATAGTCTGCAGTTTTCATCATCCATCCACGTAATGAGCATATTTTGTATATCTTGATTTGCTCTTTCCACGCTGCCTTGTGACTAACAGTAGCGCGGTTTGCCATGTACTATCTATTTTAAGACCACTCCACATGGAACATAACTCTTCAATGACACGGTTTGCAAATTCCCGCCCGTTGTCCGATTGTAGTATAGATGGGGCGCCAAAAATGCAAAATATGTCTATCAGGTTCTTAGCAACTTCCTCTGCCCTTTTCGATTTTAATCCACGTATTTGAACAAATTTTGTTAAGTGGTCTTGATAGACCATGATAAATTTGTAATCTTTATCTGCATGGGATTGCATATCAATCAGGTCACCTTGACAACGTCTGTTCATCTCCGAAAACACCATTGGTTTAACCACAAGTCCTTTCTTGGCAGATTTTAGTTTCTCTTGGCAACCTTCACACAAGCCGAGATATAATTTAATAACATCTTGAGTTATATTCTTGTGTTTTTTTACATTCACTTTCCATGCGATGTTTACCACCATGTCCAATGGCCAAATGTGCATCATGAAAAATATCAAACATTTCGTCGTTTGTAACGTAATACCCTATGCTCGATTCACCTGATGATACACGAGCGATAAGCTTTTCAACACCTCTAACAGAACATATTTCAAATCGCTTCAAACGTCGATATTGTAAAGTAGTCTTGGTTTTATCATTTTTTGCCAACTTGACTGATTCTAACAGTTCTTGGTATTGGTCCTTACTAAAATAAAAACTGTTTACATTTTTGGAAGACACCAACTCATTGAAAACTTCATAAAAACGCTGTCTTCAACGCGCGCGACCGCTTTCTTCGGTTGCCATTTTTGAAGTGACTGCACGTGTCGATAGATGACGCAATAATAATTCCTACACCCAACTTTAACCAAACGAAATCGGATAGAACGCGGTTTACCCGGGTAAAGCCCGAAATATGTATAATGTTAGTTGAATTTCGTACTTTACCCATGTTTCCTGGGTATTTCGAAGTTTACCCGAGTAAACCTAGGTTTACTCGCCAATCTAACTTTACCCTTAACCTATATTATATATTATGTCAGTTTCGAGTTTTAGGATAAAAGTCACACTTAAATATTTGAAAATTGCAGATTAAATTATTTATGGACTACAAGTAGTTTGGTGTAGTGGGTTACAATTATTTTAATATTTATAGTTAGTTAACTGTACCATAGAGATGTTCGTCCCAAAGTACACTTGTTGCGTTGTGACGTCATTTATTTTCATGACCTATATTTATTTATGGTTCTCATTTCCACTATGCAGATATCAGTTATTATCCAGTGTTACTTTTTATAATTAGTTAACTGTAGATTTTTCTCCAAGAGATTTGTGTTCATAGAACTTTCGTCCGAAAATCACATATTTTAAAGTATAATGATAAAGCAAAAGTCTCTATTATAAAGGAAAATCCACTAAAAATGTTTCTGAAGTAAACCATGAACGAGGGGCAAACATACGAGTCATTATCGTCATAACTACATACTACTCCAAATTGATGGTGAAGAAGACACATTGTAAGCTAAGAATACTTTAGAATTATGTTTTGTGGAACACCCTTTATTATAAAATCTATTTTAATTAAATGTATACTCGTAATATAAAATTATGTTTATTTCAGGCAGTCTCTCAGCGCGATGAAGGTTTTTACACATGTGTATCAAGAGCAGTTAGAGGAGAGGATCGCAAAGTTGAAAAGATCCAAGTTCTCGTAGCCCAAGATTGGGAAAACGTGTATGAACATGACTATAACGTAAGTTGATCATTAAATTATATATCTTTCTTCTTAACACAACCCTATGTTAACAGTCAAATTCAAAAATATTATTAAAAGAGAATAATGATACCTATGTGCTGTATTAGTCCGATGTTAAGTAAGTCAAACAAAAGCAAAGCATTCCATCATTGATTTTAACATAAAAGTTTTGAGCTCTTTAATATACCTATACTGTTTGAAGGTCCTAAAAATGTAGTTTCAAGGTATTTAACTAACAAAAACGGTATTTTTTTAGAGATTTGTTTTTGAGTTGACATCACCTTTTTCGGTGACAGCCGATTTGAAAGCTGATTTACGTTCAGTTTGGTTTGTTATTTCACCATAAATATACTAAGACCAGAATAAATATTGCAAATGATTGCAAAAAATGTAATTCAGTTCGTAAAACTTACAGTGCGCTAGGTTCAAAATTTTGTTGAGGCTCATTTTTGGGCAAAATTGCCGCATTCGGTGATAAAAATCTAAAAGTCATTATTGAGACGCCTTTGCATTTACAAAAAGTCACTCTTTGTTGTACCTTGTGGAATTATTGGTCCATTAGCAATCAACCTGATAAATGCCAAATCAAATGAATCGACTGTATCACTCTGTAGTACCTATAGTACTTAAGTAATTTAATTTTTTTTGTAGATTAATTTGATTAGAATTTTAATCATACTGATAATGCTAGTTCTTCTGGTTATTGGAGGATATGTGGTTTACAAGATGTGGCGAGAGAGATATATGTATCCCAATTATTTAGGTAAAATATTATGTACCTTACCTAATTTTTTAAGGATTGCATATGCTCAAGGTAGACTTTAAGCGATAAAATATTTTTTCTACGATTACTATCGTTTTCATTTATCAAACGTTATTTTGTATTTTTTTGTAGAGCAAGAAGATGACGATGAAGGTATATTCAAAGCGCCAAGCACATCTGGGATGAGTTCTCCAAGTAGTTCAAGAAGAATAGTTCTGTGTTCGAATTCTCCTAACCCCTTGACTAATAATTTAAACGGCACTGATTTTAAAAGTATTCTAGAAAAATCGAACGAATAGGTTGATTGGATTTATAGATTTAGTTAAATTGCATATAGGTTGTCTCAGTGACGCAGTCCAAATTTTGTTGAGGCTCATTTTTGGGCAAAATTGCCGCATTCGGTGATAAAAATCTAAAAGTCATTATTGAGACGCCTTTGCATTTACAAAAAGTTTTGAAAAAAATTTGGGAGTATTTAAAAAATATAATATTTTTACCTTGATTCATTTTTTTAATTTCAAAATCGTCTGGGTTTGCGTCTGGGTCTGGGAGGTCTTTAACACCTACCCCCTCTTGCTGCGTCACTGGGCTGTCCATTGTGCATCACAGAAGTGTTTTTCTTTTTCCATGATTCTAAAAATTACCTGTGTCATTTTTAAAATAGTTAAACTAAAATTGTTGTATATAATTTTGTAATTTTTGATAAAAATTTAAGCTGCAATAAACGACTTTATAAGAGTAAATACATATCTCTAAAATTTTTATTAATTGAAAGAGATGAGTAAAACATAATTTAAAACACAAATTTAAATGATGAAGCCATTTGTAGATAGTAATTACTTTTGTAGTAAAATGGAGACAATAAAAGAAATAGCAAAGTATAGAAACGGTTATTAAATTTCATCAGTTTGATACGGAATTTTGAAAAAAATAGTGTTTTGCATTAATGTTTTAGGCCTTCACAACTTAGCACATTAGCCTGTGTAGATTATGGAGTGCTAGTACTATAATATTCCACAGTGTAAGAGTGTTAGTACTCTAATACTCCCACACCCTTGATACAGGTCTTGTTACTGTTTTCCAGCGCAACTAGAGGAACAACATTGTTAAATAGAACCCAACAGTGAATGGTCGGAATGGAGAATCCTATGGCTCTGTCACGAAATAGCGCTGAACGAAATAGAGCTTATAAAAATAACGCCTACTCAAAATAGCGCGTAATAAAGGAGTTCCTGAACGAATTAGCGCGTAACAAAAAGACGCCTACTCAAAATAGCGCGTAATAAAAGAGCTCCTGAACGAATTAGCGCGTAACAAAAGAGCGTCAGTCAAAACAGTGCTCGAACAAAATAGCGCCTTTTAAAATAGTGAGTATTGAAACAATATCAGTAAGAAATACTGCCAAACGAAATATCACGTTTCTAAATAGGACTATTATTAGTTTTTTAAAAATTTATCAAATAAAATTAACTAATATACCTAACATATGCGGTCTGAAGCCATTTAAAATTAAACGGTCGCTCACGCACATGTTAGGAATGTTAGAAAAGCTTTATAAATTTTCTTTTTTATGCTCAATTTTTTGCAAATCAACCCGCGAAATTTAGTTTTTTTTTCTTAACAATAATTTTATGTAATTTTTTTTAGCTCTATTTTGACTGACGCTATTTTAAAAAGCTCTGTTCTGACTGACGCTTTTTTGATGTGCATTATTTAATTCTGGCTATCTTTTAATATATACTATTTCGTTCAGGCGCTCTTTGGATAAGCGCTATTTTTTTGATACGCCCTATTTCGTTATAGAGCCAAATCCTACCTATGCATCAGTTATTTTAAAATTATTATAATTATTATTTTTTTAAAAATCTTGACCAACGGTGGGATTTGAACCACGCACTCTTAAATTTGCAAGTCCAGACTCTAATCACTGAGCCAGCTTCCGCTTCTTAAAAAAAATATCTATCTATATGATTATCTAATTAATTTGAAAATTTAGGATTATGTATGTTGCTGTGTAGTAGGTATTACAGGTATAAGAGAATAGCTATATATGGAATATGTTCCTAAAATGGAATACCGTTAAATTATTTTAACTAGCTTTGGCAACGCCGCACAAATTGCAACCAAACGTAGTTCAGGATATCACATTTTCTTTCCAATAGACCAGCGAACGCTAAATGCCGACTCGCCGACTCACAAGTTACTTTGTAATTTTTTTATAATATCGATTTTTTTGCAGATATTAATAATATTGGTGCACAGAGGATATCAACTACCAATTTTTTTTATACAGAATATGCGTACGTCCATTACATGTTCATTAGCATAAGATGAAAAGCATAGGTAGTTAAATATAGGTCATAAAAATTAATAACGTCAGCAAGTGTACTTTGGGACGAACATCTCTATGGTACAGTTGACTAACTATAAATATTTAAAGAATTGTAACCCACTACACATAGACTTAGCTACTTGTTGCTGGCCGGATAGAAAGATCTCTGGACAATAAGGAGTCCACCATGGGTGTTTTCATAGACATAAAAAGTGCTTTTGATAAAACCACCTTCCCAAAGATAACACACTCATTAACCAACAGGAATGTTCCACATATAACCAGTGGATGGATACATAACATGCTCATAAAGCGAGCAGTAAACATAAGTGTTGAAGATGCGAACATAAGAGGCTTGGTTGTGAGGGTATGCCCACAGGGAGGGGTTCTATCACCTTTACTGTGGAATATGGTCCTTGACACCCTCATCAGCCGCCTCAATAATAACAGTCACTACACAATAGCATATACAGATGACCTAGTTATTCTGCAAACAGGGAATTTTGAGAATATACTCTGCGAAAGAATGCAAGTAGCTCTAAAAATTATCGAACAGTGGTGAAAGGATCATTCATTGTCTATTAATCCTAAGAAGACAGAAATGGTCCTTTTCACAAGAAAAAGGATAAAAATGGAATCAGCAACTCCAGAACTCCCAAACACAAAACTAAACTTTGCAACAGAGGTGAAGTACAGAGGTCTCACTTTTGCCAGCAAGTTAACACGGAACTCTTATTTAGGAAACAGAGTTAAAAGAGCATACATTGCTTATGAACAATGACGCCGAACCCTGGGACGAACCTAGGGTTTCTCCCCCAGAGTCGTCACATGGACACGGCTATCATAAGACTTATGCTAACATACGGTGCAGTTATCTAGGTACCGAAAACCCAAAAATTAACAGCTATCCATAAACTAGAACAAATTGAAACATGTCTCAATATTACAAGAGCCATGAAAACAATACCGACCACAGCCATGGCAGTCATTCTTAGTCTCAAGTCCCTTGATATTTACATTAAGAAGGTTGCTCTGACGACAAAGACACGCCTCCGCACGGTTGAAATAGAACCTGATGTAGGATCTGGTGAGGCGAGATGTCGCTTTTGGCAGGAGGTGCTTGATACTGCTTTAAGCGAACATGGACTCCATTTTACCGAGATATCTCTTCCATAAGTCACATAAAGTTACAATAGAACAAATAGAAGAGCCGGAAGTGGCAGGTACGATTCATATCTACACCGACAGTTCTTAAACAAAACAAGGCTCAGGATGTGGAATATACTCCAGATTCTTCAATGACAATAGTGCCAGTGAAGTACAAACAGAACTAACGTGTATTCTCATAGCAGCAAAAGAAATAACCAGAAACAATATCACTGGAAGGAATATACTCATCTATACAGATAGCAGACAAGCACTACTCACCATGAACAGACCACGAATTTACTCAGGGTTAGTACTAGAATGTCATGAAGCTTTGGCCGAAGTATCCATCAACAATGTGGTCACCTTAAGATGGATCAAAGGTCACGCCACATCGAAAGATAACCATCTTGCTGATTTACTAGCCAAGAAAGCAGCTAACCAAATACTTTTTCGGCCTGGCCCTTCTATTGGCCTGACAAAATCGATAGTGACAGACCTAATCAAAGAACATTTCCTTATGAAATTGAAGGAAAGATGGGATAAAACAAGAAACTACAGAGTTGCCAGGGAGCTCTTAAGTTATCCTGACAACACTGCAAAAAAACAAATACTTGACTGTGACTAGACAGAATCTGCACCTAGTTACAAGCATTCTGACTGGTCATTGCCAAGTACGAAAGCATCTCCATATCATGGGACTGTCATAATCCGCACTCTGCAGAGGGTGCGAACATGAAGATGAGACCATCGAGCATATCCTTTACGATTGCTCGACGCTCTCATTTATTAGAAGATTTGTGTTCGGCGAGTATCGGCTAACACCGACCGATATAAGAGAAGCACCTCTTGGCGACGTTATCATCTACATTAAATCTGTAGGCTGCCTCACGAGCTAGGAGGTGCCTATTATCTCAGGTGCCTGGTGAGGCCTAAGTGCCGTGGGGGCGTAACCCACCCTCCACACGTTACAGATACAGATACATGTCCATTTATTGTCTGTACATCCAGGACTAATTCTGGACGTTTTAAGTATGTCCAGTTTAGTAAATCCTCGGGACTTTCAGAAATAGATATCCGTAGAACGTCAATTCTACGTGCTTTATTATATTTTCATCGATTTACATTCGCATTGTATTATTTGGTTTTATTATATAAAAAACATATATAATAAGCATATAATAATTATTAAAGAGGGCATTGTCCAATATCCAATTGAATGAAGGGCAAATAGACAAAAAACGAAGAATGTTCATTGCAAGAAAGAGACATTGTTAACAAGTGAGATTTTATTATTTTAATTATTATTAATTTAGATTCAAGCACTGAAATATTCTCAGGGTTCAGGTTTTATTATAAAAAAAGAAAAAAACATGGGACAAGTTCTATAATTCCGCCATTTGACTGTGATTCGACTCTGTGAGTTTGTGGTTGATTAATATTAATTTATTGCAGTTTGTATTATTTTTATTTTCCTATCTGTATACAGATAAGGAAAGTATAGAAATCATGATTTTTTCTACCTCCAGTTTTCGACGGATTTTTACGATTTGGGGTCCCCTGAATCCGTTTTGACTATTTTCGGGATGCTGTCTGTGTGTGTCTCTGTGTGTGTGTGTCCACTATAACTCATGAACCGCTATAAAGAAAAACACCAAATTTTAAACTTAAGCTTTATTCCGGCGTCCAATGAACTGATTAGATTTTGGGCAGAGTCGGAAATCTAGGGGGGTACTTTATAGATGGTCATTTTCATATTTTATGAAATATATCTGTAATTTACGTTTGGAGAAGAAAATTCTTTAAATAAAAAATATTTGCAATACTATTATCAATATTTTTTGTTATATACAAAATTTTCCTAAAATGGTCCGTATTCGAGAAATTTGACAAAATAAAAAATAATTTTTTATATAAATTGTTCAAATAAAAGTTGTTTGTAATATAATTCTCTATAAGTTTAATCCCATACATAATTTCTCTAAAATGGACCGTATCGAGATATTTGAGAAAAAGTATAAATTTCGAATTTTGAAGAAAACTAAAAAACGGAAAAAACATTAAATTTTAAACTCAAGTTTTATTTCGGCCTGACGTAAAATGATTAGATTTAGTCGGAACATCTGGGGGGTACTTTATGGGAGGCCGTTTTTATATTTTATGGAATATATTTGTGATTTATGTTTGGAGAAGAAAATTGTTCAATTAGGAGTTACTTCTAATATTATTATCTATATTTTTTGCTTTATGTCAAATTTTCCTGAAATGGTCCGTATTCGAGAAATTTGACAAAATGTGCAAAATTCTGACTTTTAAGAAAATTGTTATACTAAGTTGTTTGCGATATCGATCTCTATAATTTTTGTTTTTACATGATTTTTCTAAAATGGACCGTAATGGAAAAATTGGAGGAAAAGTACTAAATTTAAAATTTTCAGTATTTTCGTTTTCAATGAATATCTATAGAAAAAATTTTCAAGTTAGATGTATGTGGAAAATGTATATATTTAGTTTATCCTCTAAACATTTATAGAGGTGCTGCAATAGGTTATACAAAATAAGCGGAAAAAGCCTATAATAACTAGACAGGAAAGTCGTGTGTTGGACACATCCGATTTTTATGTGGTGCAAGTTGTCCAGTGAATAATACAAAGCTAAAAGGTTAGTGAATTCATAATGTCTAGCAGGGCAAACTTAAACCGATTGGATTTTTATATTGATCTGCCTTTCATTTTGAATAAGCGATTAAATTATTTTCAGATTCAGCTGAGAAGGCAAATATGGCCAAATCAAGAAAATAAACTCAATCCAGGCATGTTTGAAAAGGGCAAAGTAGAGGAGAGACGGGAGGAATTTGACGAAAAAGTTTTAATAATTTTATTATTCATAGATTATTTGCTTCCAAATAAAAAAATTTAAATTATTTATTATTTTCACTAATTTCCTTACATCCTGTTATTCCCCATTTGAGCTTTTGAAAATGTCCATGGAATGTCCTTAAATGGACGTTCTTAAGACATCCTATTTATTAACAATGGACGTTCCAAAGACGTCCAGAAGACGTCCACGTCCGTAAAATGGACGTTGTAAGGATGTCCTGAATGTCCAAGCAGGACGTTTTTAGAACGTTCATAAGACGTATTTGTGCTATCTGGGCAGGGGTAAACAGTGGATGCACTACAAAGAATGTTAAGGTTGGTGCCATGTCAACTGTTTAGGGGCAGAAAACAATATATTTTTTTACAAATTTTGCAAGGGATTCTTCTAATAAGTATAGCCAATACAATTCTTTTGTGTGGGCTGATTTGTTTTTTCATTTAGCATTAAGTAATAAAATGTTTTGTGTAAGGGCCTTGTTTTATTTTTCCTTGAAACGTATGTTCCGTACTAAGTACAAAAATATCATTTTCTATAGAATATTTTGCTGTGACTTCTGTATAATAGATTTAATATTATAAATAATAAATTATGGTTTTCAAAGTTGTAAAGAACCCACACAAAAAACAAGGGGTGTCAAGAAGACATATTCTGAATTTATTATGTACAAAAAACAAAACGGCATTCCATATTTGGCTCACTTCCTGTATTAATTACCGGTATTATATTTGAATTTTAATGAGCCAACGGGCAAACGTTCAAAATAGATCGGCTTTTTCTCAGTAAGAATTAGTTGCAGGACGTAAATATTTGGCGTTTTCTCTGAATAAAATAAGTTATCATAATATAAGAAATGTCTACCAATTAAAAAAAAAAAAACACTAAAAGTGTGAATTTAACGCAATCATAGGAAATAAAATAATAATGCATCTAATAAAGATTTTACTTATACATTTTTCTATTTAATCTATACGAAAATAATATATAGAAGAGTTCCTACAATTATTACTAAATACAAGAAAATGTATTTTCCCGTTCATGAACAACTAAAAATTTCCATAAATAATATTTGTACATGTTTGTACATCTAACTATTACTAGACGAAGTAAACAGAGAAATAAACAGAAATCATTTTGAGAACTGCGACTGCTGTTTTAAGAATTGGATAGATGTCAGTAATGTCAATACCAATGTAATGTTGGTTGCATAAACGTAGGTAGAATTTTCGAAATTTGAGACATTGAGTTTGTTGATTTTTCTGGACTGTTGAGGTTATGTTTGTTCTATTCATTTCATAAATAATATTAAATAACAAAATAATTACGCTACAATCAAAAATAAAAACCTGAATCCGATAATTTTGAAGCTCATATTAACAAATATGCATAATGTTTTAATCACTGGAACTCCAGGTAAATAAGGAACTACTCACAGTTGTTGCTTTTTCATTTTTTTAATTAAACTTTGATAGGTGTAGGAAAAACTACTTTAGTTAAGAAACTTGTTGATATTTTCAAATCAAAAGATATAGATTTTGATGGTTTTTATACAGAAGAAGTAAGAAATGGTAATGCCAGGGTGGGATTTGACATTGTAATGTTGAATAATGGCAAAAGAGGTATTTTGGCTAGAAAAAAGTAAGTGAAACAGTACTGCAATAAAAAGTTATAATTTAAATTGTGTCTGTTTATAATAGATATCGAATTACACATTTTAATTAAATTTTAGTTCTCTAAATAGTTCAAATTCACCTATGGTTGGACAGTATGCAGTTCATGTAAATGAATTCGAAGAACTTGTACTTCATATTTTTGAAAAGGTAAAATGCACCTATTATCTAAGTATTGGACCGATACATGATTTTTTTGTAGCCTAAAAAGTTGATGATAATAGATGAAATAGGAAAAATGGAAATGTTTAGCAAAAAGTTTCAAGCAGGTGTTAGAAATGTGTTTAATAACAAAGATATTAGAGTAATAGCCACTGTACCTCTGAATGGCGGTCCTCTTCTAGTTAAACAATTAAAAGAGAGATCAGATTGTAGTTTAATTACAGTGAGTAATAGCTAGTTACTTATTGAATCTGTTTGTTGGTCTGTATAAAAGACATCCGCTAACTTTTTGTCAATAAATTTCGATTTTTATGCATGTATTATTTTTGCAGGTTGATCACTCTAACAGGAATAATCTTCTACCTGATATTGTAAAATTATTTGAAGAAAAATATAAATAAATGTAGAATATCTACCTATATTGTGATTTAGCTTTAACCTTTCAAAACTGTTTTAAAGTACATATCTTGTTCCCATTTTCAACAATTTGAAATAAAGTATATTTATATGCAGGTTTGTGTACTTTCGAGTTAGATTAGATTAGATTTGATTATAATTCTGGGCCATTATTTGTATTTTGTCTATTTTGGTCTTTTCTGGTTCTCGTAGACCTTATAAACTAGCACTACTAGCAATGGCATATTTTAAGATTTGGTGCCCTGGTCCTATAAATTGATAAAAAGAGAAATCTGTGAATAATGAAAGAACACATTATATAAAAGAATAACACTATTAAATATTTATTCAATAAAGATATGAAAACAAATGAATTCTAAACAATTTTTGGGTAATAAAACGGGTTCAACAGTCTTCATTACTTCCTCATTTTTGGAGTGAAGAGTTGGAATGGGTTCCTTTAACAGTGGCTTCGCTGAGATGTTAGGATCTATGAACAAGGTAGGTGGGTGTGCCATGCCTCTCACCATTGCAAATCAGGCTTCATCCCAGCTAGCACAAAAACATCCCATCTACATTAATAAGCTGCAATTTTAAGCTCGCATGCAATGTACTTTTAATGTAAGCCTAATATCCCTGCAACCGCCGAATGTCCGCAACGGCAAGACTTTTATAGCACATCTGACAGAGGTTACAAAGTGAAGTTCAAAAAACATCACACTAGCACTTTTATAGTACTTACACCGAAAGTTGCTCTGAAACGTTCTATAGATGTTATAATATGAATTAGTTCTACAGCGTGTGTCCACTGATAACTTGTGAAAATATTTATTTTAAATTAAAAAAGTAATTCTTCATAATTTCTTTTGCTTGTTAAATAAATACAATTCACATTGAAAATTTAACGAAAAATAATTTTTTTTAAATTTAAAATCAATATTTTTACAAGTGTAATTAAATCCATCCATGGAGACACTATATTGTTCTTTGTGTAATGTAATACAGAGAGGCTGAAATTGAGGTTTTAGTAAAATCTCAATCTAGACATGAAAGTTTCAAATAAAACAAAATATTTATATAAATTTATTGGACAAAATTAGCTAAATAATATAATAAGGTACCAATATTGCAAAGGTTCACTAAAAGCCTAAATGGTGAACGATTGTTCAAATGTAAATTTATATAAGGTATATTTTAAAGGTTCACAAGATTTTTTACCAAGATGGGAATTGTATGATGCTAAAGCTAGATTGCTGAATAATAATAAAGAACTGTAATAATGACTAGGTACATATTATACCAATTTCTTACCTGTTGACGGAGAGGTATATCATCTGTTTAAATCAAGCCTTTTAACTTTTTTTGTATAGATATGTATCTATATTTTTATTTTGTTAGTTTATTATTTATGCGAAGGTGATAAATATTCTTTTATTGTAATCATATGTAGCTTGGAAATATTTTTATTTATGCTATAACAAATATATGACAATTTATTAGAAGGATTTCACTATTCTACAACATATTTAATTGCAGTGTTAAAAACATAAAAACACATTGTTTAAAATAATTTAGAATTTATTTACTGTAATTTTAAATTAATTATCTATAAGCTTTTTGTTAAACTGTTTTCTTCCAAATGTACTCCTGTTCTGTAATTGGGTTTAACCTGTTGAACAATGTATAAATAAATAAATAAATATTGAATAAAAAAGATATTGATCTTCTTGTTTAAATTATTAAAGGAAATGACATAGAAATTAAAAAAACATGCTCAATTTTAAATCATTATTTTTTTATTTTATTTTAAGATAAAAAACAACCAATGATTGTAACGCGTGAAGTTATCTACATCCACAAATATACACTGAAAAAACTGCAGCTCCATTGTAATAGTCATATTACTTGGTTCAAATGACATGTAGACGCTTTTCATTTGCAGATTTCAATTGAGGAGGTTTCAATATATAACAGCCATACCCACAATTAACTTTTGCTCCGTCTGAAGAGGTGCAATTGAAGGTGAAATTTAAAAAATCATAGAAGCCACAAATGGCGTTGTACACCTTTCTGCTTGGGATACGTTATGTAGTTTGATCTTTTCTTTATCCCTGATACCATGCTGGAGTTTGTCGAGCCCTCTTAGGGGGTGGAATTTAAAAAAAAATCATAGATGTTACAAATGGCTTTGTAAACCTTACTGCTTGGGATATGTTATGTAGGGGGTGGAATTTAAAAAAAATCATAGAAGCCACAAATTGCTTTGTAAACCTTTCTGCTTAAGATACATTATGTAGTTTGCTCTTTTCTTCATCCCTGAACCATGCTGGAGTTTTTAGAGCTGTCTGAGGGGGTGCAATTAGTGATGAAATTTAAATTTCACCCTCAATTGCACCCCTCGGACGGCTCGACAAACTCCAGCATGATATCACATATGAAGAAAAGGGCAAACTACATAACATCCCAAGCAGAAAGGTTTACAAAGCCATTTGTGACTTATGATTTTTTTTAATTTCACCCTAATGGCACCCCCTCAGACGGCTCGACAAACTCCAGCATGGTATCAGGGATAAAGAAAATAGCAAACTACATAACATATCCCAAGCAGAAAGGTGTATAACGCCATGTGTGGCTTCTATGATTTTTTTAAATTTCACCCTCAATTGCACCCCTCAGACGGATCGACAAACTCCAGCATGCTATCAGATATGCAGAAAAGAGCAAACTACATAACATATCCCAAGCAGAAAGGTGTACAAAGCCATTTGTGACTTTTATGATTTTTTGTTAAATTTCACCCCATTTGCACCTCCTCAGATGGCTCGATAAACTCCAGCATGATATCGGGGATGAAGAAAATAGTAAAAAACATAACATATCCTAAGCAGAAAGGTGTACAAAGCCATTTGTGGCTTGTATGATTTTTTGTTAAAATTTCGCCCCCAATTGCACCCCTTCAGATGGAGCAAAAGTTAATTGCTGGTATGATTATTATGTATTAAAACCTCCTCGATTAAAATCTGCAAATAAAAGTTTCCACATGTCATTTGAACCAAGTTATATGACTATTACAACGGAGCTATTTTTTTCTCAGTGTAAATTTGTGGATGAGGAAAACTTCACACCCGTATGTTTGTATTGATTTTTTTTTGTATTTTACAAATGTTATGCTTGATTATGGATTTCCAAGTTAGATATGCAGATTTTATAAAAACAATTCATGTTTTATAGCAAGATACTCGCCGCTATATACTCTCAACTTTTCTTCTGGGTTTAAACTTGAATTGATGGTTACATTTCCAGATACATTCAAACCTGTTGAAAATAATGAACTGCTTGAATTTGTACATAGGCTATAGATTCACTTTTTTTATAAAACTTCAGGTGTTATATATTCTTTTTTAGACAAGTCTGTAGTATTTACTTTTGCTTCCAAAATTTCTAGATTGTCATCGGGTACAAACCTTTTTAAAATGTATTTTTAGTTTGATTAAGGACCGATTCCACCGTTGTGTTAAACGAAGTTTAAAATGACATTTTTACATTAACAACGTCATTTTAATCTCCGTTTAACACAACGGTGGAATCGGTCCTAAGTATATTATTACCCAGACGTTACCTTTGTATATCTGTTTTATAAGTATTTGGTGTAAAATGTAACTGGACATTCGGGTAAATGTTTCTTCTCGTTTACAACGATTTATCTGTCATTTTGTTTTTATTGGAGTTAAGCCATTTTGTATTGGATACCTAATTAATGAAATATTAAATTTACACCAGGAATTGTAATCTGAAACAAAGACAATGGTTTAGAAAATAGTTTTCTACTTTACCAAATCTATTCAAATGAATAAATAAAAATTATTTATAAAATAAATTCTCCAAGTTAAAAAATGACCAAAAAAAACATGACAAATGATAAGAAAAGTGACAATTGATATAAACATAAACGATCCGAATTCAGATTGTGATGTTCACAGTCCTCGTGGATATTTTTTAAGCAAATTTCTTTATTACGTTGTGTTATAATAACAGGTAGGTTAAATAGATAAGTAACTAATAGAAGTTTTGCGAGGTGTTGGTTTCCCTCAACAACTTCTCAAGAACGTTGCATTTACGATGTATAGTAATGTTCCCTTAAAGCAACATCGCCGAAAGGCTTGGCAACGTTATGTGTTAGCTGGGATGTTCCTAACAGAATCGATATAATGTCTCTTCTGCCAGTCCCATGTTGTATAATATATCTGTTATACCTTCAAAATCCTGTTTATGGAGCACTTTAGTATTGTTCCCGTTCTTGATTGATTAGTTGATTATCTTTTTATGAACATCGTCTGCTCTGTGCATCTTCTGAGGAGTGTCTTTGTGACAGCACTGGTGGTTTCAAAGTTATGTACAGATTTTCAGGCATCTTTTTGGTTTAATATAAATCAGCCTATACCCAGGTTAACGTTAGTCCAAACTTTTGAGTTATAATCATACTCTTAGATACAACCAAAAAATACTCTTGGTCTTAGTAAATGTATTGATAAAGTTTTATAGTGCTTCTAGTTTCGACCACGCAGGGTTATCATCATCATTATTAGGAATAGAAAGGAATTTAATTAGCAAGAAAGGGCGGAACTACAAAAAGGATAAACAGGCCAAATACAAAAGTTAACCAAATAATTAATAAACAGTTATTATATTATAAAATCTTACTCAAGTATTAAGCCAAAGGCGTTAATTTAGATAGCAAAAACTATTAGGGCAGAGGCTGGTTATAGTAAAAAGCATAAATAGAAGGTGAAATGGGAGATGAGGTGAGGATCGTGGTAAAAGGGATAGGGGAGAGGTGGGCAAGTTGACATAGGTGGGCAAGATGACACAGTACCCCTTCCATAAAAACTACAGCGCCATTAGATCATTGTATACGTTAGACGTGTCACGTACATAGCCAGTGTGAATTTAGAGGTGTCGGAGGGTGGAATTTTTTTCGCTGTGTAAGAAATATTTACGATTTTTAGGAATTTAGTAATCTCATTTCAATGTAAGTACTTTATTGTAATGATTATAAATATTTTTTCCCGTTTTTGTAATATTCTTCAATTTTGTTTAATAAGCCAATAATTATTGTTTTATGTTTAATTCTAAATGCCTACTTGTCGATATTTATATGTGTATTCTTTGTCGGGCATGATGACATAGGGAGTGTCATTTTGCCCGCACTGCAAAATTTGTGGGTCTAAGCTATGTTTTTGTTTTTAGATGGTTAGTAACTATAAAAGGAAAAGCAACAGAGGGTCAGGGCGGGAAGCGGACATGCGGCAAGCTTTAATAGCTGTCACAGAGAAACAAATGGGCTGGCAAATGGCTAGCAAATATTTTAATGTACCACAAGCAACTCTTCGTCGGCGAGCCAACATTAAAAATAAAATAGCGATTGATGTAAAAAAACATCTCGGTCGACATGAAGTATCTCTAAATGCTGGTCTAGAAAAGGCTTTAGTGGAACACATTTTGGCTTTAGAATCCAGGTTTTTGAATTAACAACAAAAGATTTACGAATTTTGGCATTTGAGCTAGCAGAAAAAATGAAAACCATCAGTTTAATAAGGAGAAAATGATAGCAGGCAAGGCATGCTTGCGTTCGTTTTATTCACGCAATAAAAATATATCATTAGGTTGCCCAGAAGCCACATCAATGGCAAGGGCAGGAGCTTTTAATAAACCCCAGGTAGAAAAATATTTTCGGAATCTAGAACATACTATTAACAAGGAAAATATTTACTCTTCAATGATTTTTAATATGGACGAATCTGCAATAATTACAGTGCAGACACCACCAAGGATTTTTGCATTGAAAGGCAAAAAGCAAGTTGGTTCAATTACTAGTGGAGAAAGGGGTGTTCATTCTTCCGTGGTAGTTTGCATGAGTTCAGCGGGAAGTTATATTCCACCTGCAATAATTTTTCCTAGGAAAAAATATAACCCAACCTTATATGATGGCGCTCCTGTTGGGACTTTGCCATTATACAATGAATCTGGATATATAACTGGGGAATTATTTATGAAATGGATGCAGCATTTTATTGCTCATGATAGACCAACACCCGAAAAGAAAGCTTTGCTAATATTAGATGGGCATGTTAGCCATAAGAACGTCGAAGCCTTAGACCTAGCGAAACAAAACTCAGTAGTACTGTTTTGCTTGCCATCCCACTGTACGCACAGACTGCAACCATTGGACATTTGTTTTTTCGGGCTCTTAAGCACATATTACGACGCAGCCGTAACTCAGTGGTTAAAAACTCACCAAAGTCGTCCTGTTACATTATATCAAGTTGCTTCCCTTTTTGCTGAAGCTTAC